GTTATTTGCAGTGTAAATTATTTAATCTGACTGGTAGCAGCCCTATAGTGTATATTGAATTTATTGATAAATTGTAATAATTTGACATGTAAGATGATGCATACATCTAAAAAGGTTAAAAATAGGCCTTTGTAAAGGTAAATATGCAGATTTAAGTATGTAAAAGCTGATAGAACACTGATGAAAATATTGCTTCACCAAAAGTTTGTTTACTCCACCAAAAATATCAGTGATGCAGTTATTTTGTGGGGATATTTTGTATGGAATATTGTCTGCTGACATGAAAAGTTCACTGTATATCATAGTAATAAATACCATTTATTACAGCATTGATATTTTGTTTTCTTTTTAATTTATACACATTAAATATTACATATATGTATGTAATAAAATGTGTATTTCCATTACAGGTTTAGGTCTTAAATTTCATATAAGGTGGTATTAAAAAGGTCTTAAAAAAAGTCTTAAATTTAACTTGTTCAAGTCTGCAGAAACCCTGTATATGAAATGGTATAAATATATACATTTTCTGCCATGTCTTGAATTTGTGATCATTCTAAATGCTGACTGAATCATGCAGTGAAAGAAAACACACTAAATGTGCACACACACTAGTCTAGACGTCACGTAATGTATGCGTGCACTCTGTTGGGATGTTTTGAATGGCTTTTGCAAAATACTCGATAATGTCAAATCGCATCTTTAAAACAACAATTACGACGATATATATCGCAGACGATATATATCGCACACCCCTAACACACACACACACACACACAAAAAGCATTTATCAATACCTTCCACTATTGTTTTAAGTATTATCATCAATACCTGTATTAAGAGTATTTTTAATCGATATATCTCATGTCGTCCCCCACCGTACCTTTTTTCACTGATGTCTCCTACAGAGAAAGCTCATTAGGATTTAAAGCTTATGTGTCATTTATTTAGCCAAACATGGGTTGTGTATGCTGATGGCTGCCACATTGCACAGGCAATGGTTTGCCATTGACATGGAGTCCCAAGTCTCATTCATTATTGAATGATGTTATTTACAGACCACAGAACTGACCCTAAAATGCACTTGTAGCCCAGGCTGAGCCCTATGTTTAGCAAACACTGAGCAAAGATGTATTTTCTTTTCATTATGAATAAAAATAGATTTTTAGTGTGGAAGGTCACCATGTTTCTTATTTGAATCATTAAACTGAGGTATTTTTAATCTTAAGACCATGGCTGGGTATGTAACTTATGTGTTATATATTGTTATTGATGTCTGTTTGTTTTTTTGTATGACATATTCTTTGGAAGAATAGTTTGAGTACTGTTTATATGAGTCTAAAACCAATGTTTTATTTACATGTACTACATCAGATGCAAATGTAAAAGTTTACTTGGAACAAATGTAGGCCAATACACCTTGGGTATAAAGAGAAACCTGGGGCAAGGACATTGCATTGCTAAAGAGCCTCACATTCACAGCCTCCTTAAAGCTAAACCACCTACAGTACACTCATACTTTCAATGCTCTTTGATCTTTACATAAATAGAAATCGTGTACACGACACGTGAGGGTGAATCTCACAAAGAAATATCCAAATCATATTTTACCCTAAAATAGTAATAATAATAATTTGCATTAAAAATATGCAGTTTTTAGGACTTCCAGGTTTTTTTCTATTGTGGCATTACTTCAATGATGATTAAACACATTTTACTCTAATTCTGTTTTCTCATTACTGTAATACAGTAATAAAAATCATGCTGCTGGGAAATAAAATCAGCATAAATAAAATGAATTACAACAAACTTTCATAATGTTCAGATACTATATTATGGGTGAGACATGGGTTGAGAGATTCACCCATAAAGAGCTGTGTGGGTATGTCTTCTGTTAGGATCTCTTTCTTATTTTCTGGTCTCAACTCTCGCATCCTTAAAGGCACCTTTCCAGAGGAGCTCAAGAATTGAATTGATTTAGTCCCACTTGAGCTATAAGAATTTGGAAAATAGGACAACGCAAGTGTAAACTTAAAAAATATATATTTTAAAGGTTATAGAATAAAATGGTACGACTGACTAAAATTATGTTCAGTAATTATGAATTATGCAGGCTTTTTTCAGGCTTCATTACTTAGACGTATCACTCATATTATCACTCTAGTTATACAGTATAATGCAGTTTGTTGAGAAGAGCATTGGACTTTTACCTGGTGGACAATAAAACAGACAAAACATGAATGAAAGACCTGCAACCATATCGTACAGACTTTAACTTGGACGAGTAAGCACACAGAACTCCCTAGCAACCACATAGCAATGCTCTGGCAACCTCTTATAACACCCTAGCATCTTTTGCAGGAATATAGTTTTGCGTTATCCCTTGAGTCTCATTAATACATATTCCTTACTTTTATCCTTCTGTCTTTGCAGAAATCAGGATGGTGTATCCCTCATCTCAGGTACACAGCAGAACACCACCGTTACCTTCACTGCCCAGCCTGGCCCCAACGTGCCTGCCCCGTCACCGTGCCGACAGGCCGAGAGCCTGCCTCCCCACCACCACACCCCGAGCCCTATCATGTCCCCGCCGGACTCTGGCCTCAGCTGTGCCTCTTCCCTTCCGACCTCGGCCACTTCCCCCACCATGACAGACGTATTTGGTCTGCCCACACCGCCCCTCAGCCTGGGCACGGGGCGTAGCCGTTCCCCTTCCCCGCTCACCCTTATCCAGGCCGCATCAAACAAGCCCTTTGCCACCAAACCCGTCCTCATGTGGAGCAAGCAGGACGTGGCTGACTGGCTCGAGAGCCTGAACCTGGGCGAGCACAGGGATGCCTTTATGGACAATGATATCGAGGGCAGCCATTTGCCCAACCTGCAAAAGGAGGATCTGATCGACTTGGGAGTGACTCGTGTGGGTCACAGAATGAACATCGAGCGGGCGCTGAAAGTCCTCTTGGACAGATGAGACTGGGCAGACGTCCTCACCAGGACTCCACGCATCTTGTTCATAAGCTTCTTTTTCCCTCTTCCCTTATTTCGGTTCACTAATTTGAACAGTTTGTTGTCCTATCATGCTTTCGGTGGATTTTAGGAACTCTCACATCCTGAAGAAACTCAAGTGTTCAAAATATCCACGTAAGCACAAGCGGTTCCCTGCGTTTCTGTTCCAAGAGCTCCGGCACCAGAGAGGACATTGAAGCCAACACACTGTATGGAAACTACAAACATGAGCTGACTATCCTTTGGCTTTTAAGGACTTTGGCCTTCTTTGAATGCACTGAAACCAGCAGAGCTGGGGATCCATTTTCTATCTTTGCTAAGACAATTCTACAGAGAATATTTCTTCAGGAAAAAAGGGAACCTTTGTCTATGTATCAGCTGCCTATGAAATAAATATCTGGCTTTTTTTTCCTCCTACACCTTCGACCTAGAGGTACACGAATCTCGGAGATGTGATCAGCGGGCATTTAGATGTCCCTCAGTTCATTCCATGACAGTCCTAGAATGGCCGTGGTCACTTGAAAACACAGAGGTCAACTCTCCCTATATGCGAACAAACGTAACCGTAGCAAGCAACAGGTCTCTCCACCATCTTAAATCTTCAAGTCTTGTAATACGCTAACATTGGATGTTTGTCTGAATGATCAACAATTCTCTTGGGTCTTTGAATTGTGGTTTACTATTAGGTGTCTTCCATATGGTAAGGAGGTCTACGGCATTCCCACCAACATTTTAATTTGTACCTTTAATCGATACTAGTTTGCGTTGTTGCTAGTCAGTATTAATTTCCAGCGGATTTGATTTGGAATAATGGGTCTTCACAGGAACACATATGATCTGAAATACTGAGGTTTAGTTTCATGGGTGAATGCAAAATAATTTAATTGAAGTAGAAACTGACAACTCTCTTTGTCAAATTTGACAGCTTTGAGTTGAACGCTGACACAATCACTCTGAAAGGGCCAATATGTATCTGTCTTTTGCTTTAAAAATGTGATGAATTTTTCATTTAATAATTAATTTTTATGTACGGTATTTATTTTTTGTAATTATAATTCGCTAAATCATTTGATTGTTGGGTGGTAAAAAGGAACGTCCAGAAAACTACAGGAAACCTCCTTAATCTATACATATCAATGTCGTCAATTGTAACTGATACAGGAGTTCATATCTGTAAATTGTTGAGTATTTTTTTATTTAAATTTTATTTGGATTTTTTTTTTTGCAACTAAACCTGCAACTGTCTACAACACATTTTTAAGCAAAGTGCTTTTACTTGTCCTTTAATTTTATGTCTTGCAATTGCTTTGCTCAACAATTGGAAGAAGGTATGATTTTGCTGTCTTACTACGTTATTCATTTAAACATGTAACTGCAATGTGTGCCTATCCGTGTTACAATTTGACACACCACAACATCTTTAGGTCATTTGAAGTTTAGTTGTGATCTTTTCGTTGTTAGACACTCGTTTCTCAGAGATTTATCAATTTCATCAGACTGTAAATGCCAAAAAATCCCACAGGTATGGCATCGGACTAGAGATAATATTCATATTTGTGATTAAAACATCACAGAGACACGAAGGGCCAGCCAGCATTATACATTTCACCTTCAGTATTCAATTCAATGCACTGTGGGTAACGCCGGCGATAGATGAGATAGAGAATGGCTGTGAATGAAGTTATGACCGTTTAAAGTATGCAGTGAAGAGATTCAGAAATAAATTATATATATGTTTGCTTATCTCTCGACCTTAGAGGAGTTAGAGTTATCATCTCTATATATCTTATTTTAGGAAACAGCACAGTATTTTAAAGATTTATAGAAATATTTATGAAATTTTTATGACATTTAACTCTGATATGTGGTGTGCCAAAAATCTATGTGGTATCAGTTAAGAAGCAATACACCAATTTAAAGAACACTGTTTGGTCTTTCTTTGCCAGTATTCCACAGTACCGTATATAATATGAAATGAAATTTACATATACATAGGTCTCAGTGAATTAGAAGATATGAAAAATAATGAGATAATGGCTGTCACCTGCTTCTTTTAGACTATGTAATTAAAGAAAGAAGTTAAAATGTAGTTGTGTGGTGTGCATACTTGACGAATAACAAAACGAGCACATATTTTAGGCCACTTACGATACGGTCACATTTGCTCCGGCAAATTTCACGGGCGAAATGCAGTCATTTCAACATCTGTCAGCCAGTCTCGAAATATATTCTGTTCTCACTAGCTTGCAAGAGACGCTCTAATAGTCTACTGTCTGCAGGAACGTGTAACTGAAGTCAATATTTGTGAAGTTAATATATAAGATGGCAACGTCTTATCACATTTGACACGACAAAAGGTCAGATGAGCAGTTTTTATCCGTAAAAATGGTAATTAACCGACGGCAGGTGTTTTTTGTTTACCTCAGTAGAGTAGCTGACTTGAGTAGCGCGCAGACCACAAAACTGGCGGGATGCGCTGCTATGATGGAGGACACACTGCTCATATCTGCATCTCTGTAAATTACCGAAACCACACATGAAAACATGATCTCTCGAACTGTAAAACGTGACAGACAACTAATTGTCCCGTACGGTTTCGTTCGCACAGTGCTTCGCCGAAAATTCCTGAAAATTTACGAAATTGCCAAAATGTGTGTGAACTCAACCGTATTTACTACAAAACAGTACTGACAACCAGGGCTGGACTGGGACAAAAAAATCAACCCAGGCATTTTTTGGTCCAGGCGGCCCACCACCTCCATATATATATATATATATATATATATATATATACAGAGTGGGTACGGAAAGTATTCAGACCCCCTTAAATTTTTCACTCTTTGCTATATTGCAGCCATTCAGCCATTTACCCACTGTATATATATATATATGATAGGTCTATACACTACCAGTCAAAAGTGTTTGAACAGTAAGATTTGTAATGCTTTTTAAAGAAGTCTCCTCTGCTCACCAAGCCTGCATTTATTTGATCCAAAATACAGCAAAAGCAGTCATGTGAAATATTTTTACTATTTCAAATAACAGTTTTCAATTTGAATATATTTTAAAATGTAATTTATTCCTGTGATTTCAAAGCTGAATTTTTAGCATCATTACTCAAGTCACATGATCCTTCAGAAATCATTCAAAATATTCTGATTTGCTGCTAAACACATTTTCTATTAGGTTGAAAGCAGCTGAGTAGAATTTTTCAGATTATGAATAGAACAGCATTGATCTGAAATGGAAATCTTTTGTAACATTGTGAATGTCTTTATCATCACTTTTGATCAATTTAAAGCATCCTTGCTAAATATAAGTATTAATTTCGCTAATTTCTGACTTCTTTAAAAAACATTAAAAAAATATTACTGTTCAAAAACTTTTGTGTATGTATCACACTCATATCACATCTAGTTGTTTTGTCGAAAAAAAATGACTAAACTGTTTTAAATTTTGATAATAATTATAATAAATGTTTCTTGAACAACAAATCAGCATATTACAATTATTTCTTAAGGACCGTGTGACACTGAAGACTGGAGTAATGATGCTGAAAATTCAGCTTTGATCACAGCAATACATGGTATTTTAATATATATTTAAATAGAAAAAAAATCACAATATTACTGCTTTTGCTGTATTTTGGATCAAATAAATGCAGG